GGTTGGTGCCATTTTTGTACCCATGGCCGTTCCCTTTATTTGTTGGTAGTGATTGCCATCAAAATAAAAGACATTTCTTTTCAAAATAACTTCTACGGATTTGATAATAAATTCATGATTAAAACGGTTATCAATCTTATCTGGATGTTTCTTAAGCCAATACGGAATAGCTTCAATTCATAAATCATGTGGAATATTTGTATATAAGCTGACGACGTCAAAAGACACAAGTTTAGAATTGGGAGGAACAGATTTTGGCAAATGTTTAAGAAAATCAAAATCGTCTTTTATAAAACTCCTCACTGAAGAATAAAGTGGCTTCAAAATAAGGTCAACAAAATGACTAAGCCGTTGGGTTACACACTGTTAGGTCCGCCTACTATTGGTCGAAATGTCAAATCATCTGGATTTTTAATAATCACATACTCGCTTTTCTGTAGTTTAATAGCTTCAGCTATGATAGTACTTTTGTGTATTTTAGGCAAACCATCAGATGTTAAATATTCCACCTTTTTATCAAAAATACCTTTCTTGTACTTCATGACTAAATCATTGATAAGCTTATGGGTAACATCATCAGCACTTGGTTCAATAGATGTATAAAATTCTTCTTTCTCCAACATGTCCACCATTTTACAATAGTAACTAGTAAATACAGCTCTTCTCTTGTCTGCTTCCTTAATAACTAAGGTTTTTATCTTTTTGTAAAGAATTCAAGGCAGTTATTTGTTTAAAGGATAAATTACTTTTTACATTTTTTTGACAACCAGAACCAACAGGGCAATTTTTCAAACTTTCTATCTTTGCTTTTTGGGGAATTCCAACGAGATTTGTTCCAAACTAGTGACCCATCGTTAAAACTGCTATTCTTATTATTGTCATCATCATCATTTTTTTTATGGAATCTTTTACTAAGACAGAGTCGTCTACAGAATGCTAATAGATCTGCCTTAAGTTCTTTGCCATCATGAGTATTTGGTGTTGGACAAAATTTCAGACCTTTAGATAACAAGTGTACTTCATCATCAGTAAGTTTTCTACTAGAAATATTTATTACTTTTGGTAACTTACTTTGATCAGGATTGTTATTCACACCTTTATCTAAACTGCCGTCGTTTTCTCCTCCTGACTGTGTTCATTTGTTTTTGTCCCTCCGCCTTTGTTTCCTATTTTTTTTGATTGTCCTAAAAAATGCTTGTTTACCGATTTCCCAATGTTGTTAGTTCCTTTCAAGTTAACTGGGCTGGATTATTTTACACACGAACTGTTCTTTCCGGAGTGTTTAGCTTTACGTGCGTACTTGGTTCTAGTTCCCATTTTAGACGTATTTGGTTTCTGCACTACAGCTGGTGTCTTGATCACCTCAGAATACAAAAGCTGTTCCCGTTGCGGTGATGATTTCCTTCTTTGGGTCTCTTTTAGTATTTCCGTTGTCACATGTTTCGTCGGTGTTCGCTTCCCTTCATTACTTTTCTCTTTTTCCCGGGTGGTATGTTCTTCCTCCAGGAACATGCTGTCACCGTAGGCATTGGGATCCTTATGAAGCCATTCACTTTTGGTTTTCCAGATGACTCCAGATTTCTCCTCCTCTTTCTGGCATTCCTTTGCCCACTGCGCGCTTAACCAATTCTCAACCTCTGTAGATTTCGATGTTTTGTGAATTAGTTCCTGCATGCAAGAATCAATTTGATGCATGTTTCCGTTCATTAAGTTATTTTTTCCAGGTCCTCATGATATAATTCTTCGTCTTCCATCTATTGGAATGGACCGAAGCAGGATCTGGCGTAAAGGTTTCAGATTCAGATTCTAAGTAGTCCTTACTATAGAAATCAACATTATTAGTTTAAAAAGAGTCATCTACACAGTTATCATATATACATATTTACAGGTGATTGCCATTATGTCACATCATTGCTGTGTCCTCCTTTGCACAAGTGACAGACTAGAGTCGTCTGAGGGACTGTCATTCCATTCCTTTCCTCAGGATATTGAAACGAGAAAGAGATGGATTATCAGCATTAGACGGGATGACGGACCAGACCTCAAAATTACGAAAGGAACACACACGCGTGTGCTCTAGACATCCACTACTTATCGTGTTCAACAACGGTTGCTAAAAAAGGCTATCGCATCATTTTTTGATTGGTCGTCAGAGAAACCTTCTCGTTGGAAGTTATTTCGCCAAACACCGCTTAGACTTGAACTTCCAGCTAAGGTAGGGTGTGTTACATCAATATGTTCTCCTGATGAAGTCCCTCTCTTCGACCATTCATATTCTCTAGAGACATTGCATATACCAGATGAGGAAGATCATGTACTGAATACAACATCAAGCGATGGTCTTCCTAACAGCTTAACCAGCAATGAGGACAGTCTAGTTAACATAGAAAATGTTCCTTCTCCAGATAAGGCAATTTATACAAATTGAACAAACAATAACTTCAGCTCAGAAATGAAGAAAAATTCACCCTCCTGTTATTCTGTTCAACAGACAGTGACATCAAATACTACACTGGGTTCCAATCCTAGGAATCTCGTAACTGTTGCTACCAGTTTTTGACACCAGAGTTTGTTTGTTTGTTTGTTTGATTTTGTTTAACGTCCTATTAACAGCTAAGGTCATTTAACGACGGCCTCCCCTGTGTGCAAGATGCATGCGTGTAGTGTATGTGTGTGTATTTTGGGAGGCTGCGATATGTTCGTGTTTGTCTCCTTGTGATAGCGCGGAACTGATGCCGACTTTATAGTGCTACCTCACTGACACATACTGCCGAAGACACCCAGCAGGACGCCCCACCCGGTCACATTATACTGACAACGGGCGAAACAGTCGTCCCACTCCTAATTTGCTGAGCGTTAAGCAGGAGTAGAAACTACCATTTTTAAAGACTTTGGTATGTCTCGGCCAGGGGACAGAACCCAAAACCTTCCTCACAGGGGCGAACGCTCAACAAATGGCCAAAAGTGAGGCATTGTCAAGGGAGACATTAGGAAGAAGAAAGTTATTTAGAAAGGAGAGAAGAGATAAGGTCCCAAATTTAGTCGCCTCTTACGATCATGCAATTGGGGGCAGCAGGTACAATTCTTACGCCCTACCTGCAGGGACGACACCAGAGTGCAACTTTCTCTACTACATTGGTACATAAAACACTTCTCATGGAACACCATATGAACTCCTCAACAAACAGGGTCCTTACAGGACATTGTCTCCCATGGAAGAACTATTTATCACCCTTGTGCGTTTACGCAAAGGACTTCATGAGAAACTATTAGAGGATTTGTACAATTTGTGAGTGGGACATATTAGTAAAATTCTCAACACCTGGATTATTTTCCTGACAGACAGTCTCCGCTGCTTACCAATATGGCAGACCAAGGAACATGTGAAAGCCACCATACCCTCATTTTTTCCAGGAATATTATCCTACAACAAGAGCAATAGTGGATTGTACAGAAATTTTCATCGAGCATCCTTCAGCCGCTGATTGTCAGAGAGACTTTCGCAACGTACAAGCACCACAACACTACAAACGGACTCCTATCAATCTCACCAGATGGCCAGATCAACTTAATTTCCCCCTTGTATGCAGGACGGGTCTCTGATCAGAAAATCATTCGCTACTGTGGAATTCTGGATTTGGTTGAGCATGGAGATGGTATTATGGTTGACCGTGGTTTTGACATTAAGGATGATCTTGCCAAAAGAGGTGCTACACTCATAATGCCTTCATTCCTTAGTGGATCAGACCAGTTCACAGATGATCACCTAAAAGAGTTCCGAGATCCTGCGGTATACTGTCCCAGTGGCAATGTGTCTAATGCTAGAGAGGATATGCCAATTTTACTGGCAGTCTCTTAAGATACAAGATATTTCACAACTGTTTTGATTAATAATATAACTTTTCCCTTCTTTTACCTCTTCCTGTACTAGACCGCCATTCGGTGTTTGGGAATCTCTCGTGACCACGTGACACATAATAAGAAAGTGACGTCATATTACCAGGGTTTCCCCAGTATTCGACCAGCACCGAGTTAGACCACGAGTGTTTCGAAATATAGTCGCACAATAGTTAACAAATGAAAGTTTTGTCTTTTAAAACGAGTAAATAAACCATTTTAAACATTTATTGTCTGTATTATTTTGTATTTCAGGATGCTATTATGTCATATTTCATATCAAATTACCATACGTAGGGGCGTGGTTGCATGTGACATACATACACATGTGTGAAATTTTTTGAAATTAATAATCAAAATGCAGGTTTTAAATCCATAATGGTCACAGGGATATACCAAGGAATATTAATATATATATATGTGTGTTTAATATTTTAAATGACCAATCAGACAGTATTTTTAGACCTACACATTACTAAACACATACAAATAATAATTAGCAAAATGTTCAAGTTACAACAGTACCAGCCTCCTGGTGTGTCATATGCTACACATATTGTTGATGACTTACTTTAAACAAAGGATAGCTCATATTTAATATACTTTACTATATTTTGGTTGGCTACATATCACTATATGACATGAAATTGGTATTTGTTTTCTCCCCAAGGAATATTTTCAGTCCACAAATTGAAATACATATAACTTATTAAAGTTTTTTCCACAAGAATAACACAAAAAAAACCCATCCAAAATAATATTCAAATCATTTTTTTTTAAATTATAAAAATAGGTACATGTATCACAATGATAACCCTATAGCACAGTTCTTATTTTTCTCCAGGTCAATTAAACTACCAAAAGGCCACCATACCGAATATGGACACAAAGTCAGCTAGAGCAAGCAGTGAATGCTGTCAGAAATAAATCTCTGTCCATAAATAAGGCAGCAGACACATTTTGTATTCCAAGAACAACGCTTAAAGATAAAATAGCGGGAATGACTCCACTAGTTTCAACACAGGGCCCTGACCCTATATTGTCTTCCACAGAGGAAAGCGAGCTAGTTTTTGCTCAAAAACATGTCACGAATAGGTTATAGAATGACTAAACAGCAAATCCTGGACATAGTTCAAAAACTTCTCACTACTCATCCCAGGCCTAATCCCTTCACTAACAACCGCCCTGAAAAGCAGTGGTGGAGTGCCTTCCTGAGAAGGAATTCTGATATTTCTATGCGATTCCCTGAAAATCTCTGCAAGACACGAGCTGTCTCTTGCTGGAAGGAGGCAATCTTGAAATGGTTCAGGGAATACAAATCCTACATAACCGACATAGAGAAGTGCCCAGAAATTCTGCAGGATCCTTCACGCATTTTTAATGCAGATGAGGCAGGCTTTCCACTTAACCCAAAATCTGATAAGGTCTTAGCTGCAACTAGGTCTAAAGATGTATATACAATATCAGGTTCAGACAAAACATCCATAACTATATTGGCCTGTGCAAATGCATCTGGCCACTTGCTTCCACCGATGCACGTGTTTCCAGGAGAACGGTTTAAAGGACCTGTTACAGGAACAAAAGAATTTTGCCCACAAAGCAATTCAACCATTACTGGGTTATATTTGTAGCTCCCTAAGACACGACCCATGAGATATTTTTAAAAACTTAAAAAGGTCCCCAGGGCCTGTGCTATGAACTATTTAGTGCCGCCTTCCAAAGGTGTACGACAGGGTTCACTTTTTTGTCCAAAAATCTATCAAAACAATGTTTTACGCTATCAAATAATATCATATTATTTAAAGTAGGATCTGCTGCAAATTATGAATTCAAATATGTAAAAAAACATTGCATAATAAAAAAGTTATAAAATCTTAAACTCTAAAAATGTTGGTATTTTCATTTACTTTTTTGCTATATCAATTGTTTTACGGAACTAAAAACCAATTTCCGGTTCTTGTACACCAAAAATCTTTTAACATTATTTGGTGCATTATGTTGAGATATGATAGTGAAAATTTCAGAAAATTTGAGAACCGGTAAATTTGTCATATAAATGTCAAATTGTAGCAACGTCTATTTCCAATAAAATCCAA